GGAGAGGGAGAGAGGTAGAAACAGCAATGGTGAGAGAGAATCATTGATTGTCTGCCCCCTGCACCCCTTACTGGGGATCGTGCCTCCTGCATGCTCAGGAATTGAACCATGACCTCCTGGTTCATAGGTGGACATTCAACCACTGACCCACACCAACCAGGTAGGATGACTAAACTTTGATGAAGCCAGCACAGACCAGGATCTGGGAAAACTTAACTTTATCTCAGTCTGAAAAAGTTATCACAGATTAAGCTTCAAGGAGCTTGAATTCATAGTCCAAAATCTAAAGTACACAATGAGAGAGAGCGGGGGGGGGGGGGGGGGGGGTGAAAGGGAGAGGGGGGGGGGGGGGGGGGGGAGTTGTAGAAATAACAGATAGCAAAGTGTGACTTGCCAAGTCTTCAGATATTAAAATTATCAGACATAAAGTACAAAAATGTATACTTAATATTTTTATGACATAAGAGAGAAGAATGAATTTATCTTTTTTTGAGGTAAGAGTGTAGCTTCTCTTGAACAAGAAACAAGGGACCATGAAAAAGATCAAGTAAATTTGAAACAGAACCCAGTAGACCCTTCTAGAAATTCATTGATAAGTAGATTAGTTATTTGGAAGGGACAGATTAAGTAACAGATTAATGGCGCCAAAGAGAGAATGAAAGAACTGGAAGATAGATCCAAATAAAGAAGCAGGGATTAATGCAGATGTACAGGAGACATGGAAGAGATATAAAATGTACTATAAATATATAATAGAGCAAATGTGGAAGAGGCAGAATTCCAAGAGATCAAGACTGAGATTTTCTAGAATTACTGGACGAATGAATGTAAACTTTTAACCATAAAATAAGAAGCCCATTAATGAGTGAAGAATTCTTTCTTGTTCAATACATTTGGCCAAGTTACAAGGAAGGGATTTTCTACTATTTTTTAGATGTGATTATGTTGTGAGGCAGAGATGGTATATTTATAATATTGCATTGCTTGGGCTTAAAAGGTAGGAAATATTGTGAAAAACATTCTGCCCAGGTTACATTTTCTCCCTATACCAAATTTACTGTGTTTCTGTCCATAAGATTATTTTGCTATTTTTAGTAAAAGCTGGGACACGTTGGAATCTAGGCTTTAGGGTGATGTTGAAATCCGTGGAGCCCCACAGCATCCAATACGGTGTGCAACCGCTAATGATTGCATAAGGAAGGTTGTTGACTGAAATCGGCATGATCTCGTCAGCAACAATGGGAGATAAGAAAGCTTACTGAAAGCAGCATTTGAAAGTAAATAACCTACCAGTATTTTTCCAGACCTTGAAATAAAATTAGATTTAGCAAAAACCATCTTAATTCAGATGTACCCCAACTCAATACAGAAAGGGCTCAGGTTGTAATAAAAATCAACTTAGCTAATATTTGTGGATCATTTTCTATTTGCCAGGCAATGGGCTAAGCATGTAATGAGGAGAAAGCAGAAATTATTTTCTATCTTATTCAACAAATGTTTAGCCTACATAACTGAAAACAAGATGCTTATATTCTCTTTATTCTCTAAATGTATCACTGAATTGTAAGCCTGGCATACTCAGCTATTACCATTGTCATGCCAGAAGGTATTGCAAGATAAATAAAATTAATTTTATTTTATTTTAACTTAGAAAAGTACACTTCAGACTATAAAAATTTTTAAAAATTGATGAAAAGGTTGGGGTTGTTGAGATGCGTTTTTTTTTTTGTTTGTTTGGTTTTTTTTGCTGAATGCAGTAAAAACATATATAAAACAAAACAGTACCTAGGGAGAAATGGTCAGAAAACTGTTCCTTGGTTTACCAGTTTGGTGGGTTGTGCATCTACCAGACACAGCATAGTCTTGGCCTCGGGGCAGCGAGTCTCAGAGTCTAAGGTACACCAGCATTACCAAAAACCTCGTGAAAAAGGTAGGCTCCTGAGCTTAACTGGAAGGATTCTGATTTAGCAGGTTTGAGTTGAAGCCCAGACTTTTGCCCTTTTCACAGGCACTACGGGAAAATGTGAGTGGGCGGTCTAGACATCCCTCACAAAATACTTTTTTAGGAGAACTAGAACCCCAAGCCCTCCCTTTCCTATAAACCCTGAGAGCTCTGAACAACTCCCATTTAACCACAGAACTCAACTGATTCACAAAGGTCCAGTTTGATCTGAATCCTGAGGTGGTTCTGATCTGGATCCATGCGTATAGGAACTGTCAGAGCCACAAGGATTTCTAAGTGTGAGGTAAACTGCTATTTATTATGACAGCATCTTTAATAACTGATTCAAAAGCATCAAAGAGGAATTCTTTTCATATGCCTCTTTACCCCTCCCCTCCTCTAAAAAGAGAATGGTCTCACCTTCTTATAGTCGTTATGGTAATGCGCCATTTTCTCTTGGCCTTCTACTTAGATTCAGTCTCAAAAATGAGAAAGACTAGTTTGGGCAAAACAGATATTTCTAACATTTTTTATTTGGCCTGAAGAGTAAGCGGTCGATATGTTTACCTGATTGCATTACAGCCAATTGGACACCAAGGCCTCATTAAAGGACCATGTTGAGTGGCTAAAACCAGGAGGTGGAGAGCTTATGTAAACATCTTTGGTAAAATACAACTGAGTTTGCTCTTACTTTGAAACAACCCTTTGAAATACCCTTCAGGAACTGTTTCCTCAAGATAGAGAATATTACAAGTGATAGATCTTAGTTAATACTAAACCATCAGGTGTTGTCATTTCTATTTAATGAGTAAACCACAAACATCATAGAGAGGCAATCACGAAGGGGAAAAACATGAAATATATTTAATTCAGCATCTGTTTATCAACATGGAATTCCCTTGCCGACTGAACTTTATATTATACAACGCTCGCTCCAAAGGGTTAAGTTATGTCCCTTTTTCTCTCTAGGACTTTTTGATGACTTTGCAGACCAGTCAACAACTCAGCACAAAGACATCCGGAGTCACGCTAGCGTGTTGTGACAGAATCACAGGACCCTGTGGGATTCGTCCCATTCTGAAAATGCCACGAACAGCAGAGGTAAATGAAAGCAAATGTCAGAGCCAGCACAGCCTGAGCGAGAGACCTAAAACTCAGACTCCACAATCTGTAGGGAAAAAAAAGACTCCAAAATCTGAAGAGAAAGTTCTCTGCTGTGGCACTGAGCGGAGGTGGTAGATGGAAAATGACAGCAAGTTTCCTAAGAACAAGCCTTGCTTTGCTCTTCCTTGGCCTCTTCGGGGCCCTGGAAGCGACAATATCATGCAGAAATGAAGAAGGTGGCGCTGTGGATTGGTAGGTAAAAGAAATGTCAGGTTTTGTGTATGCAAATAGAAAGCCAGAGTGTAGAGGCAAACTGGTTCACTGTGAAGTTCCCCAGGGGGACTTCCACCCGCCTCTCCCTTAAGAAGAGAGGAAATTAAAGTGGGCAAATGGGCCAAATATCCAGATAGGCTTCTGAGTGAGGGAGCGCCCCCCTGAGAAAGAGCTGAGCAGCCCTGTGGGCCTGACTCACTGCTCTTGGCGGGCAAGGCTGGTGGGCATAGGTGTGGGGTAGAGCTGACAGTTTCTCTCGGTTGGCAATTTCCTTTCATTGCATTGTGGCTTTGCTAACAGAACCCTTCCAGCATCCTTTTAGAGACTGACAAAGGAGAGAAGTCCAATTACTTTCTTTCTGACGCTGGAGCTTGCGCTTCTCATTATGACAATGAGGAAGAGGACACGATCGTACACAGTCCTGTCTGGTTCGCCTCACTTATTAGGCAGCACCAGCAGCTATTGGAGTTGGGGGTAGGTCAGTGGCCTCTTGAGCAATATCAAAGAGACTAAACACAGCTTTGCATCGTGGTCATGGATTCCCCCAAAGCTTTGATCACTTTCTCACTCTTTAATTAGGGTATTTTAGTTTGTCACTGTGGTTGGCGTCAAGCATTGTGTAAACTTCAGGCTGGAGAACGCAGGCACATTCACTCAGCCTCTCAGCAAACAGTTTCTGAGCTCATAGCAGGCCCTGTGCTGAGCTTTGAATATACAAATATAAACAAAACATATTTGCCCCAATGAGCTCATAGTTATGTGGGAAGGGCATAGATGGCGCATTGGGGAGCGTAGAGCCCACAGGTTTCTCTGAGTAAGTAGTTTTTTGAAGTAAGTTTTAAGAACAAATAAAAGTTAGGAAAACAAGGGAGATGCAAGGGCTTCTCAGGCCAAAGGAGCAATGAGAAGGTCCAGAGGCAAAAAAACAAGGGGGAAAGTTTGAAAGCAGTTCAATATTGCTGACTTATATGGAGAAGGTGAGGAGATGGTAGGAGGTGAGTTTAGGGAGAGAGGTGAAGAGCTTCATGTGCTGAGCCCCACAGAGTCTGAACTTGACTTTGAAAGGGCTACTAAAGAACTTCAGGCAGAGATGTGATGTGGCCAGATTCATATTTTAGAAAGCCTGCTAGCAGTACTGTGACAGCTGGACAGCTAGGGATCAGTCAGTGATGGTGAACCTATGACACGCGTGTCAGAGGTGACACGCGAACTCATTTTTTTGGTTGGTTTTTCTTTGTTAAGTGGCATTTAAGTATATAAAATAAATATAAAAACTATAAGTCTTTGTTTTACTATGGTTGCAAATATCAAAAAATTTCTATAGGTGACACGGCACCAGAGTTAAGTTAGGGTTTTTCAAAATGCTGACACGCCGAACTCAAAAGGTTCGCCATCACTGGTTTAGAGTTATGAGGACCAATAGGACCTTTGCAGTATTACACATGAGAAGAGGAGTAGACACAACTTAGAGAAGTGGTCATGGAAACAGAGAGGAGGGGACACTCTGGGAAGACTTAGAAATGGATGGCTGAAGTTCATAGGAGAAAGGGAGAAGTTAAAAAAGACTTGCAGGTTGCTGGCTTCTGTGACTGCGGGAATGTGTTCCCTAACAGCGGGGGATGAGGAGATTCGGAGCAAAATATCACAAACTTGGTTTCAAAAATATAATGAATGAGCATCTCTGGAACAGTCTTGCATTTAGATTTATCTGACCTCAGCATAGAGATCAGGGCTAGAAATTGATTTAGGGAATCATTAACATGTAATTGGAGGTGCTCACCCAGGAAATATATGTAAAAGCACTAGTTCTCAACTGCTGTGCCATGGCAAATGGATAGTTTACACACCTTTCACTGTGGGGAGAGGGGGAGGCATCAAATGGTTATAAATATTTAAAATTTTTTCTTGCTCTAACTAAATGGACTTATTATTTAGCAATGTCAGTCAGAGGGAATGCTGAGCTGAGCAGATGGTGAGACAGTCTAAAGCTGCTACAACATACTTAAGCCAGCACCAAAGAATAATTTTCTTGCTTCCTGCCACATGTGAGGAGCTTGCCCTGAAAGTAAGAAAGCATGGTCAGGGCAGGAAAAATTTTACTTAGAAGCCTAAGATTAAAGAAAACCAAGTAAATAGTGAGAAGCTTTTATGGGCAGTTGAGGCACTGCTGTGGGGTAATAGTAAATTCATGACAATGTTTGCTTTACTGTGAGTGTTGGAGGATTAGATGTGGGGTTTGTACCATTAGGGGGTATTTGGCTGGACCAGGGTGATTTTGCCCTCAGGAGACGTTCAACAATGTCTGCAGACAATCTTTATGGCACAACTGGGGAGTACTATTGGCATCTAATTGGTGGCAACCTGGGATGCTACCATGCACTGGACAGTCCGCCGCCACAAGGAATGATTGGGCTCAAAATGTGAATAGAGCACATTGAGAAACCCTGAGCTAGATGATCCAAACATGCCCACATGCTACATTGGCCCAACCACCTCTCCTCCCCACAGGAGATACACAAACAGGAGACAGTAGTGAAGGAAAGCGTGGTGCCTACTTAATTAACCGGTATTACTCCACCTTTAACTCTCACAGTAAGTTGTAGCGGCTTTAGACTGTCTCACTGTCTGCTCAGCTCAAATTAACTCGGCCCTGAACTCTCAATGGAGAGCATTCTTATAACCTGAACTGAAGGATGTGGCTTAGGCCAGAGGCTCAGGGGAGCCTCCACCTACCTGAAAGCCCAAACCCAAATCTCAGACCCAGTCAGCCAGTCACAAAGGTGAGCATCCAAGAACTTAGGGCAGAAGAGAAAAAGCACATCAAAGTCGTCTCCAGTCCAGGCTGGGCCTTGGCCTTCTCCCCAGTGTGGCAAAATGGACTGTGGAAATGACAGAGAGCGGCACTCTCAATGTTCCTGGAATCACTGTAGGAATCCCACCACGAGGCCAGTTAATGTCTTAGAATATGTCCAGTCAGATTCACATTTCCTTCTCTGGGAACAAGCAAGAATAAGGGTGGGAACCCATAGAGCATTGGCCTGCAGACTGAAGGGTCCCGGGTTCAATTCTAGTCAGGGGCACATGCTCTGGTTGTGGGTTCAATCCCCAGTAGGGGGCATGCAGGAGGCAACTGATCAATGATTCTCCCTCATCACTGACGTTTCTATCTCTCCCTCTCCATTCCTCTCTGAATGCAATAAAAACTATATTTTAAAAAGAAAAGAATAAGGGTAGGGGAAAAGGCTGAGGGCTTGAGCATATTCCTTTCCTAACACTCAGAGGCCTTTGTGAAATGTAAGTGAAATGATGTATTTAAGTGATTAACACTGTGGCTGCCATCAGGGAAACAGCCAATATATGTCAGTCATTCATAATTATTGCCTTTGCTAGGTTTACCTTTTATAAATTACCTAAAAGGCAAAATGAGGAAAGTAGAAGGACTGGGTTCGAGTACCTGTACCTGGACTCTACAACCAGAAGCTGGAGGAAGAGCAAGCAGTTAATGAACAGCACCAGGAGTGTTTTGGGAAGGACATTAGAACAGCTGTATGAAGCCTATGCCTCCAAGGTATGTGATAGCTAATTATTCATTTAAATCATATAAACATGCATAAAACAGAATCCAAAGCTTCCAAAAGATTTTAACTGCTCAGCCACCCAACCCCCAACCACAATCTGGATCAATCTGAGCAAGACCTCAGGGAATATGTCATTGGGCTCTACAGCAGCGATTTTCAACCGGTGTGCCATGTCAGGCGCACTGGGGCGCCGCAAGAATTTTTAAAACATGCAATACCTGCCTAGTTAGTCAGGGGCACTGACCACTTTTTTCTTAGATTGTCAAATCAAAAATGACAACTGCTAAGACAACAATAGCCATCTTGTGTGCATGAGTCAAAATTATACCTATTTTTTTTCAGATCGGCAAAAAATATATTTTTTGGTGTGCCGCAGAATTTTAGTAGTTTATATGTGCCATGAGATGGAAAAGGTTGAAAATCGCTGCTCTGCAGTAAGGCCAAATTGTTGATACATTCAGCACCATGTCCAATGGTATCACTGGGCAAGGTGTGAACTAATTAAATAGCAATGTCTTCTGGCTGCCAAATTCATTGCTTGCTATCTCATCCCCCTAATGGAACTATGGAGAAGAACCCGCTCCTGGAACAATGCAATGCAGATCTTTGATCAATGTGGCATTAGTTATGGAGTTGTTTAAGCCACGAATGGGGGTGACCTACTATGTATGTAAGGGGTCACCCCGTCTTCTTTTCATTAATCTTTTTCAAAATGGTAGGTTGAGGGCTAGATGCTTGTTCAAGACCCTAGATCTAAGTTGCCTGAATGGAGATTAAACCTGCTATCTGAACTTCATCAGGCGATGAGCTAACCAGCAAAAGAGACGTGAGGTAAGTGGGCTGCTGGCTCAACGTGGGCAGTTTCCCAGTGTCCCTGACACCACCTGCGGTTCAGTGACAAGATACCGCTTTCCATCAGGGGTGACGAGTAAAATCAAACAATAATCAATATCCAATTACATTCAGGTATGCATTTGCTAACAAACAACTTACAGAGAAGTAAATACATAAAATGACTCAGCACTTACAATGTTCTGGGCTTTTCCACACATGAACTAATTAATCCCCCAGCAGTGCTGTTGACTCTGACACTGCTGCGCATGTGAATCTGAGTATTTGTTCAGAATGTGCAGAGGGCTGTCACTGTGTTTGCTAATGTTCATTTTTCTCACTTGCCATTAAGACCAGCCTTCAGAGACAAGCTTCAAAGTCAAAACTTATTTGTAAGCTGTTTGAGCACCTGTGACATGCTAGGCACTGCTCTAGGTGCTTTACAAAGAATATTTTATCTCAGCAACAACTCCGTTTTGAATAGATTATTATGTAAAGTCAAAATCGCCCGCGGCTGCTTCTGCTTTCCAAGACTGGGGCTGAAGGCCCGGAACACAACTCAGCAGTGATAAAATACACACATTGTTCCCTTCCAGTCTTAGAGACTGAATGGGGGTGGGCGGGGGGGGAAACCTTAGTTGGGGCAGAAGGTTCTCAGTTTGGCAGAATATGATAATGATATTTGGAGGCTCAAAAGTAGCTCCAGTGCCTTGGAGGGCAAGAGAGCTAAACTACTCTGCAATATTGAAAAAGGGGTAGATGGGAGCTAGGAATTAAAAAGTAAAAGAAACGTGGAGGGAAATTGGGGGCAGGTCAGCATGATCATGTACAACTATTCAATGTTCATACCTTCATGAAAACCTGCTCATACACAATGCCTTGAGTGATGGTTCTAGCGAAGAAATTACAGTAAAGGGCTGATTTCCAGGTCTGATTGGTGTGGAACCAAATGAAGAATGACAATAGTGGGTGATATCCAGGTGAGATTGGGTGCTTTTTGGAAACTGGAACTATGTGACCGTGAGAACATAATTCCCCACCTTTTGACCTGGAGTTGAACTTCTGAGAGTAAAATGCAAGGCCAGACCAACTGGTTTTAAATCTCACATGTGAAGGTGACCTACACCAATATCTGGATTACATTTAAAATTGTTTCTCTTCTTTTGCCTCTGTAAGCAAGAATCTTCCATACACCTTCCTAATAACACCAAATGATGTTGCTGTTGTCTGTACCTGTCTGTCTATATTCCGGCTAGCCTGGAGGCAGAAACCTGACCTTCTTGTTCAATATCCACTAGTCAAAATAAGACTCAACATATGTGTTAAAGGAATAAAGCTGTCCAAAGGCACATACTTATATCTGCCTATTCTTAAGTCCATGATCTTTCCAGAGAGCCACTATTCCAACTATAGCTAAAACCCCTATAACCTTAGCTAGTTGTTCAAACCTGGTTAGAATAATACATGTCATCGTATTATAAAAAATACATTTCCTCATTGAATCTTTCCAGAGCCCCTCCACATTGCACCCCAAAAGCACCTCTGCCCTCATTACCACATTTGCTGCAGGCTTAACGAAGAACTGTCAGAGGTCTCCAGAGGAGGATGCAAATGCCAACGGTAGCTATGGTCAACTGTGGAAAATGAGGGTGAGAAAACAGCTTACTGCCCTGATGTTTCTAACTACAGTAGCCAAGAATGCTATGCAGATTAGACTGCACAATTTTTTACAAATGTTTTTAGATTACATCAAACGATTAAGCAGCTATAAGAGATTCAGTTATTGACTTTTTTTTTCCAAAGAGAAAAGCAAAGGCCTTTCTTAAGGAAATGGACTGTCCTTTTCTGCTTTTAATTGTCACAGATTTTTAAAAATATCGACATTATTGGATTCAATAAAGATCACTGCTTCATGACACAAATGAAATGAAACCACACAGAGCAAATAGAAGTTTCTAAAACATGACACTGAGACATTCTCAAAATGGCAGCTTAATTTTGGAGAATTTATTAGTATTTTGGGTTACCAGAGGAAACCCAATACCACACCTTCAATTTCACCACTTTTTCTAAGCAGGAAAATACCAATTTAGGAAGATGAAGCCATAGAGAAAGGGACCGAAGGAAAATCCTCTCTAGTCAGTGAGGTAGAGGAGCCGAGAATGAGAAACCCTGATTGAACACAGGGCCGCGACCAAGCAGCGGAGCACAAAGCAGGCGGAAGAAAGCAGATCCTGACAACCTGCTCTGCATCGTGCCTACACTATCAGTGGGAGAATCCCTGCTGCAATCCTTAACGACTGGTGGTTCCTACTTCATTTCCTGAGCAAATACTTAACTACTTTCTTATTATACACTGGTTGTCAAATCAGAAGCATAGATCCAAAACAACCAAGGGAAATAGAAATGTAATCCTCACAGACATCACAACGCAGAGGGCTCCTGCCAAACAGGACAAAGCCATGCCTGGGTGTGAGTGGACTTTCTGGTCCTGGTCTTGTAGGTCCCAGAATTCAGACTGATGGGGAAGCTGCCCATTAGGAGAATGGGTAATTTCTCATGGTATTAATGAAAGCTCTGCATTGCAGGCTAGGTAGCTGGTAGAAATGTTGTGAGCATTTGTAAGTGGAAGATTTACACCATTGTAACCCTAACATGTTCCTGCAGAATAACAACACCGCCTATCTAATGTACAATGACGGAGTCCCTAAATCTGTAAATTACAGCAGAAAATATGGACACTCCAAAGGTATGACAAAGGCTCTTAGTTTCTCTCTCTTACTGAAAGTCAACATTTTCTTAAACATTTTGTCTTCAATATTCTTATATTCCACACTAAAAAGAGAGCTTTTATTTTTTTAATGCTTTATTTTAAGTTATCAAAACGTGATTTCTCTATCACAAGTTATAATTACATAATTTCCTTTCACAAATGCCTTTCTCTTAACATATTTTTAGATATATGCTTTATAACAGAAATTCATGTACTGACTACTGGGAAAACTAGCCTATATGATGAAAAGCTAATATGCAAATGGTCATCATGCTGTCACGCTGGGGCCGGGGGACCTGAGGCTGCACCCCCCGCCATGAGGCTTGATGGGTGTGGGGCCAGCGGGGTCTGGGTCTCACGCAATTTCGAGGTGCACACAGGTGGGTGTGGACTTGACCCTTGGTCCCATGGAGCGCACCAGACTCTGATGGAAGGGAGATTTTCATCTACATTTTACTAATTTTCTTTCATCTCTAACACTTCTATTATAGAGAAAGGGCAAATAGCAATATTAAAATATTTCTTCTAATTAATTCCCACTTAATGTGCACGAATTTCATGCACCAAGCCACTAGTATATATACATGTATGTGTGTCTCAGTGTGTATACCCACACATTTTAGTCAGGTTTATTAAGTTATAATTTACATAGAGTAAAACTTACTCTTCTTAGTGTTTAGTTGCCTTTGAACATTTGCTTTTAAATGTTTATTTATAAATTTAAAAATTTATTTTAATTAGTTTTTACATTATAGTAGTTGTTGTTATATATTGTTATTACATATTATAGTAATTTTTATTATAGTAACTTTTAGTATTTTTCTATTTATAAGCTATGCATCTGCACATGTACATGCATTTTAAAAAAATTCAAAATGCCAGTAAACAGAAAGAAATCTGTCATCTTAATACACATTAGATAATCACACTTGTTTTCTAAATTTTTCTAGCAAGCATATTTTTAATTTTTTTAATATATTTTTATTGTTGATAGTATTATAGATATCTGCCATTTTCTCCTCCTTTACCCCCCTTCTCCCAGCCCCTACCCACCCCTCACAGGTCTTCACCACCTTATTTATCAGACATATTTTTTTTATTTTATTAAATCTTTATTGTTCCGATTATTACATTTGTTCCTCTTTCTTTCCCCCCATAACTCCCCTCCACCCAGTTCCCACCCCACCCTCTGCCCTTACCCCCCCCACTGTCCTCATCCATAGGTGCACAATTTTT